GATAGTAGAACAAAAACCTTTTAGATCCAGCTACAGAAAACTATGACTCCAATAAATGCCTGGTTTACCCAATCACTTAAACGTAGTATGACCGCTGGGAGGTATAATTTTATTTATTGAAAGCTTTTTGTCAATGTTAAAAAACGCCAACGAGAGCACATTCATGTCAAAGATTAAGCAAAGTGTAAGACAGCTTTCCAAAGACGTTAAGATGTAGAACAAGATGTAGGGTGTTATGATGTCGTTTTCACCTTTGAACACAGAAATGTCATGAAATTTTAAATAGAATTTGGATCGTGAAATTTGTTCTTGAAATGAAACTTTTTAAATGCACTTTCCTCAAATTTTGCAGACTTTAAAAACGCTAAAACTTTAATTGTGGTTTAGATACACGCAACATATATTTCAGTTCAGGAAAGCCTGTCGTTTTCAGAAAATATATATACACAAGTAGAAAATGTCAAAATGTCCAAATATTTTTCCCCCCAGGGCACCACATAGAATACACTATATGGACAAAATTATGTGGACACCTCACCTTCACACCCATATGTGGTTCTTCACTGGAACTAAGGGGACCAAACGTGTTCTAGCGTCCTGACCTCAACCCCACTGAACACCTTTGTGATGAACTGGAACACTGACTGCACCCCAGGTGCCTGATCTCACTAATGCCCTTGTGGCAGGTAGAAGGCTTACCTGGGGAAGGAGTGTTAGGGTCCATGTTGGGCAGACGGAAGACATAGTGAATGTAGGAAGAGAGGAGGCTGTTGCGGCCGTGCATGTCCTGGCTGGTGTCCAGATATTTATGCAGACGGTTTACTATGGATGCCATCGCCTCGAAAGCAGCCTGGCCAAGATTTACTGCGTTAAGAAGGATATGGAAGCAGGATGAAAAATAGAGGAAGAGAAAGTAGGTTTTAGGGTCTCGTAGTACTAGATGATTAGATTTGAAGATTAGATTAGCAGTGCTGCGCTGTCTCAGACCAGCGAGTTGTTACCGATCTGTCCGGCGATGACGGGCGGCCGCACCACCAACAGCACCAGCTTGTCGAGCAGCAGGTGGAGGAAGCGCACCACTGGTTCCAGCTGAGAGGAGCTCAGAGCTGCTATGCTGCCCTTCAGCTCTGCTTCCAGGCTGTTCTCCATGATCCGCATATCTCCGATCCTCACTGGGAACATGTGCTCGTCCAGAGCGTGCACCAGCGCAAAGAACTTATCCAGATACTGGTCCTGAGAGCGGGAGAAGCTCTTCTCAGTACAGCACTTATCTTAATCACGCACACAACCTAGAGAAGCCGGAACGTAAGAACCAACAGTACCTGGGTGTGGATAGTGGACACGGATACGACCTCAACGTTAAACACTCCCCTGTGGTTGTCGACCCATTTCATACCAGGCAGAGGAACCTAAAAAAATACATGGAACAATAGGAAAGTATGAAAAGCGCTTTAAACGTGGCGGTTATAAACCTCATCTGCCTGTTTAATTTTGTTTTGCAGAATAAAACATTACACGAGACGCACACGAGACCTTGTCTGGAACAGCACCCCCCTACCTCAACACTCTCCATTGAGGCTCACGTCCCCTCACGCAACTGCGATCGGTTAACAACTGACGTTTAGTAGTGCCCAGTCAGCGTGGCTCAAGGTCCCTTTCCAGAACCTTCACACTATCTGTCCCTCAGTGGTGGAACGAACTTCCAATCTCAATCCGGACCACAGAATCTTCCACTATTTTCAAAAAACAGCTAAAGGCCACTGCTTCCATGAGCACTTAACTAACAACTAAAATGCCAACCCCCACATTACCTTTTTAAATAAATAAATAAAACAAATTTAAAAACTTACTCTGGCTCTTACACCTCTATTTTGCTTCCCTAGAACTCAATTATAAATCTTGCATGCTAGCACTACTTGTATTGTTCTCCGCTTGGTATATCGCTTTGCTGGTATTTCCTCATTTGTAAGTCGCTTTGGATAAAAGCATCTGCTAAATGAATAAATGTACCACCACGCACTGATGTCTTACAGATTCATTATATATTCATCTCAATTATTAATAAAGCACAGAGAAACACTTTAAAAGCTCTATGTAGCTGGTTAAGCAACGATCAGTTCCTCATGGAAGCCTGCTGTACTTCGAATGAGTCTTACATCAGGAGAGAGTACAGAATAAGACTGCGGTGGTTTTTCCAGAGACACTGGCAGGCAGAAGTGGCCTGTTCGAAGACGTCCGTTCTGCAGCATCGGGATCCACTGGACGAGGGAGAAACGAGGGAGAACAGGTTTCACAATTAAACCTTAGAAATTGGCTTCGTGCACGCAGATGTGTGTGCAGGTGTGCGCGCAGGTGTGTGTACCGTGTATCCAACTGATGTCTCCAGAGGAGTGTTTTGCTTCTGCTGGCAGCTGACGTGATAGAAGGTGAACAGGATGTGATGGTGGTCGTTCAGGGAGGCTGGCAGCTTAATTTTCACCTCATCGTGGAAATCCGGAGAGCTGGAAATTTATACGAGCCCAATTAGCAATCAATAGGAATTAAACAAAAGCCTAAATTTCCGTAAAACTAAACCTCTGTACATGTCTGATTTAGAATAACAGGGTCACTAGAACAACACTGATTAAATAACCTTTACAAGCAATGAAAATTGCACTGCTGTGGAACTGACCGGTTATGATAGACCACCGCAGTGTATGCCTCTTTTGAAAACTCTCCACAGCTGGATTTACCGAAGATCACCTAAACAACCAAGATGGGGGGAAAAACAGTAAGTATAGACTGATGTTCCTTTGAATCTCCCATGTTAAATGCATTCATTTGTTTCATTCATTTGTTAATGGTGCTGCGTGTCACTCTTATAACACACCATTGTTGAATTCTGAAATCTGATTGGTCAGAAGGTACTGATTAACTATCTATAAGCGTATATCTATATACCTCTGACAGTAGTTCCTGCCACAAGACGGACAAAGCACAGGTTTATATTGTATTAATGCACTCATTATCGTTTCTATAGCAACAGCTCATTGTTACAAAACTGCATTCTCTGGGAGAGTGTGGTAGATGCTCCACGTCTTCGGCGTCAGTGATTGAAAACGGTTATGGGTGAGGCTGTTCTTTAAGGTTTTCCAACATGGTAATGTCTACTTTTGCAGTTTTCCCAGTGACAAGCTGCATTTGATTTTGTCTTATTAACTTCAAGCAAAGGAACGACTGTTTATTGTTATTATCACAGGAACTTCTCATCGTCTCATGGACGATCCACAATATTCAACAGAACTACAAGCAGATAAAAAAGTATGATGTGTTTATATATTTGAAAAAATATATAAAAGAGAGTCTAATCATTGGCAAATTGGCAAATCCAGTCAGCTTGTGTGTCATCACTTACAGGCATGGCATTGCTGGGGTCCTCCCCGTTCATAAACTGCACCTTCACTGTGATGTTCCGAGCGGAGCCCTGGCGGTTAGCGAAATTCAGACTCTGTGGGTTGACATACAGCAGGTTCCTAAATAAGAACAAAGGAAAAAAAGAGAGGAGACATAAGAACAATGCATGGAACAAGAGACTCAATGCTGAGAACATACACAAGTCCAAAAACAGGATCGTGTAATGCAGCCCAACACGAAGCAGTGCTACTGTTATGCCGACAAAGTTGATTATATTTCCTATAACACCATGTCCTGGTGTGTTTTATGCCATCTATACTATAGCTATTTGATGACCGATAAAGGCTATTTTTTTATAAAGGCTATTTATCACGCTGTCAGCCATTGGCCGATAGTTTAAGACCATCTGATGATCAGAGCCGATTATATCCTGTCAATCAAAAGAGGGCGGAAAAACACAGGCTTAATTTTTTTTTATTCAGCTCGTGCTGTATTAAAGCACCAGTACACCGTTGAAAGATTTAAATGATGATGAGTTGACAGAAAAGTGTATATTGCATAGAAAAATATATTTGCAGAGTAGCATTTCATATCCAGTTAATGTTAATATATAAAAAAAAGTTGATCTGTCAGTAATGAAGTAGAAATGCTTTTGTTAGTGGAGAGTGAATGTGAGAGTAACAGGAGCTTTTTTACAATTCAGTCAATGTTTATATGAATCAATAATGTTCAATAAGTTAATAATCTTTTAGTTCATGTGTTCATGTTAATTAGAGTAATGTGTTTTCTGTTTATGACACCAGTTACTGTGAAACAACTTGTTGAAATGGAGAGAAAAAAGTTTTTATTTGCATTTCTTTCAGAATTGTGGAATTAATAATTATTCATTTAAAAGGCGGCATAAAATTCAGAACTATCGGTATCGGCCGATATCACTCTGAATAATCGGTTATCGGTATCGGCTGAGAAATGTAGTATCTGTGCATCTCTAGTTCCTGTTATCACTTACATTCTAGCAGCTATAATCATTCTTTCCCATACTTTCTCTTGAAGCTAATAAGACAAAATACACAGAATTTTAGCGAGAACCCACAAAACACAAAGTCCTCTGTCTTGAAGACTTTCCCATGGTGGGAAAACATGACTTTTACTTCAAACAATTACAAAATTCATAAATGTTTCCTGACAAAAAATATGTTGCCATATCAACCCATTCTAAGTTTTCTTTAATTAACAGTGTGCTTTTTTCAACAGCTGTTTATTACTAGGCTTAGATTAGCTTTTGCATCATACAAGGCCCTGTGAATGAGTTGTTACTATAAAAAAGATGACGAGTAGTCTGGTATAAAGCTTCGATTTGAATTAGAGCCAGGACGATGGTCAGAGCTGTTGTTATATAAAATGAAGTAACCCCCTCATTTCATTAATTCTTGGGGCATTTGATTTTCAAATATTTCGTAAAAATGGCACAATGTACAGTATAATTGGAAAACATGGGATTTTTGATGTACTGATAAGGGCATTAGTAACAATGATGAAACCTTGTTCTCATGTAAAAAGCTTTTTAATAAATAAATAAATAAATAAATAAAATAAATAAGGCTTTTGGCACAGTGGCTAAGTGGTTAAGACGTTTGCCTCACACCTCCAGGTTGGGGGTTCAAATCCCACCTCCGCCCTACATGCAAAGAGTTTCCACGTTATCTCCATGCCTCGGGGTTTCCTCCGGGTGCTCCGGTTTTCTCCCCCAGTACAAAGACATGTTGAGTCTAATTGGCATTTCAGTAGTGTGTGAATGGGAGTACACTCGTGCCCTGTGATGGGTTGACACCCCATTCATGGTGTCCCCCACCTGTGTAGGATAATCTGCATGGAAAATGGATGGATGGATGGGAAAGGCTTTGGAAATGGAAACTGACCAAAACCCCAAAATAGTCTCTGTGGTTTAGCGAGATGAAGGACAGCAGGATGCTTCAGAGCAGACTGTACAGGGGTGTATACTTTGGGTGACATGTCAGTGAAACCACAATGACGTTAAGCTCATCCTCCTGGGAGTATAAGGGTCATAAATATTATCCACAAAGCGCTCCTCTCTCATGCACTTACTGTCTCTCGCTCTCTCCTCAGCTGATGCTGCTAAACATGTCTTCCACTTCAATGTCTATCTCACGCTCTTCCTGATCTGTTGCTCTGGCAGCCTCAAATACAAGAGGAATGTGAGCTAGTTATAGCTGCTAAAACAGCAGCCCGGAAACAAACACTATATTTATCTTTATTGGCATCGTCTGCATGTTTGCGCTACACAAATTGTGTTCTGTATACACACACACACACACACACACAATCAAATGCCCCTCTACAAACAAGATGAACTGCTTCATACATCAACGGCAGAATAAGAGTATTAGATGAACAGAGGAATGGAAAGTGCATTCTATTTACAGCACTTACATATATTATAAAAAAATAATAATAATAATAAAAAAGTTTATCCACATTGACACACACTGCTCTAAAATCATCATTCAAGAAGCAGAGAGAGAGAGAGAGAGAGAGAGAGAGAGAGAGAGAGAGAGAGAGAGAGAGGATGTTCTATAAAGACTACGAGTGTGATATGACATTCTGCACCATTCTGCACAGCCCTATGAAAAACTAAGAGTAAAATCTTTACCAAATCAAAGATGGCCATCGGAATGGGCTCCTTCGCTAAAGAAATACCGCACAGCGTTAATTCCTATCGCTGACAGTTTAAAATCATCACTAACTTCAGATTGTTAACTCTTTCCCTCCATATAAGATCGGACTTAAACATCGCAGATAATTAGCTAATCACAGACAAAAAAAATATAAGAAAAAAAAGAAGTGCACCACTGATTTCACGCCAATGTAATCGTGCTCAGATTTGCGAGAGGATGAGACGATAACCGATTTCCAGTCGCAATACGATTATCACTAGCATGAGACAAATCGCTGACGCAACTCCAGGTTTGGCTTGTAGGCGTGGCCTGTCCAGGTTATAATTTTTTTACATTTCAACAATCAATATAAATGTAGTCTACCTGTACGACAGTGCTACTGAATTCTGGATTCTGATTGGTCAGAAGGTGGTGCTGAATATTTTTCTACGATAGCAGCTCCTAAGAACACCCAAGTGTGGTGAGTCCATCATTTTTGCCATGGGTTGTACACCTCCATTTCCTCTATTGACAGAGGAGTGATTCTGATTGGTCAGGGAGATAAAGCCTCTCCAAAGCCTCTTACATAAACTGGGCCTCTGAGTGAGCGCGCACAAACACACACAGGATGGCAGAGTGTTTGCTCCGTTTATCTACACGGATCGAAAAGCAGACTGCAGGCAAGGGTCACTCCAGATGACCAGGCAAGGTTTGGGGGTCGTTCCGTGTCAAGTAGAAATAGCTTGAGGCATTTCTTGTGCTGGTTTTAACAAAGTGAGAGCAAATATGAGAACATGTCCAAACAAATACCACTTTTCTCTCTCTTTCAGACAGGCAGTGACCTCAACAAGCCGAGATATAAATCAAACATCATTTCCCAGGAAATTACAGGAAGAAAGTAAAGTGTTGGCTTTGCTTCATGGACCCATGGCGGTCACTAGATGCCACTTTGAGAGGCATGAGCTGAAGGAGTACTGATCCCCCCCCCCCCATTTTGACACACACAGGGCATTGGATCAGAGTAAAACTTAGACATCCCTGTTTTGACTTTGAGCCTGTAAATGTCTGCGCGCACCTTGTTGAAGTTCCTTAAACCAAAGTGTGGGCCGCCGGGGGGGGGGGGTGGTGGGGGGGGGGCCTCAACAATTTGGTGTGAAAAATAAATTCTCACTCTCAGACAACCCCCCCACACACACAATCAACTCCTAATGTAATGTAATGTAAAGATGTAAGATGTAAATAAAAAAAAATATAATAATAATAAATAAAAGGGGGGGGGGTATTCAGAAGTCTGTATTTTTAATGTGTTTTAAAGACACCTCACAAAAGGGGGGCCTCGGTCAAATGTTAATGCCATTCAGGGGGCCTTGCCATGGAAAAGTTTGGGAACCCTTGCCTTAAACAACTCCAGCACTTTTTTTCTATCTCTCTCTCTCTCTCTCACACACACACACACACAGATATGCATAGTGACTCAAGATTGATAAAGCACTGATTCAGCAGGCCATTAATTCAGGTAAAGAGATGTAAATTGTGCACTTTTATTATTAATTTCCACCCGACTACCATATCTGAAAGATGAGATCGACCAGGCAGATGATTCATTGGAACTCCTGTGGCACTACAGTGTTTGCTGCTGCAGTGGAGCCACAGGGGTAGTGAGATGGATTATGGATGTGTGTTGACAGGTTTTGGTGGGCTATGAGGTGGGTGGATGTGCATGTCACTATAATTTGCTTGCTCTGAAGCAGCCTCTGGGGATGTTTTTCCCCCCCTTGACAGTCGGGGTCAGATCCAGCTGCATAATCCGTTTAATGATCAACAAATTCTCCCTCCCCTTCTCGTCCAGGGGTATAAATTGTAGGTCGTCTGGCTTCGCATTCTGTTGCGCACACCACAGGGATTGAGGGAAAAGCAAGGGAGAGAACCCAAGTAAGATCAGATAGTACCAACTAGCTGCAAAGTCGAAATGAAGCTTATCTGCTTTTTCTTCCTAGGGAGCATGTGCACCATTAGCGCGGCTCTTCGTTTACAAACGGTCACAGAGCCGCCGTTTCTTAACAATCCACAGCCGACAGAAGCAAAGTCGCGCTTCGCGATGCTGGACGATGTACGACTGCTGGCTAACGGCCTCCTCCAACTGGGACAGAGCCTGCGAGAATTCGTGCACAAGACCAAGGGGCAAATCAACGATATCTTCCAAAAGCTAAACATCTTCGACCGCTCTTTCTACCAGCTCTCAGTCGTGACCAGCGAAATCAAAGAGGAGGAAGAGGAACTCAAAAAAACCACCTCGTTCCTCAAGACCAACAACGAGGAAATTCGAAACATGTCACTGGAGATCAACTCCAAAGTCAACAGCATTCTCCAGGAGCGCGGCCAGCTTGAGAGCCAAGTCGGGAATCTGGAGGAAAAGCTGCAAGGCCTGAGCCAAAGCATAGTGCCCTTAGAACAGCTCCAGGAGATCACTGCTCTGAAGGTAGGTCTAACATTTGTGTACAGAGCCAGTAGTAAAATAAAAATGAAAAATAAAAAAATAATAATAAATGCACCAATCAGTATAGGACCAAACTCTAAACTGATGAAGAATATGAGAACTGAATGCTTTCCTGCAGGATGTGATCAGCACTCAAGAGAAGACCATCAAAGACCTACTGAAGTCTGTAAAAGAACAACACGAACAGCTCGACTCACAGAAAAACAAAATCAAAAGCCTGGAGGAGAAGGTAGAGAAAAGATCAAACGACACAAAAAACATCTGGACTGACTGACGTAGTTGATTTCTGTTGAGTAATTGAGGATTACTTTCTCTCGCTACGTTTCCTTACAGATCAGCTACGACTCCCTTCAAGACACTGCTGAGAAAACTGCAGAGTCAAACCAAGAAGCTCCAAATCTTCTCAAATATCTGAGAAGCAACTCAACCAACGCGAGCACGGACACAAACGGTGAGTCAAAAAACAAAAACCGGTTTCTACTCGATGAAAGTTCACGCTTTTGAGCTGTTCGGTGCGGTTTGTTGCAGATCTTCCAACAGACTGCAGCGAAGTGTTCAATAGAGGCCAGAGGAAGAGTGGAGTTTACCCCATCAAACCCAATCAATCCGAGCCATTCGACGTGTACTGCGAGATCAGCTCGGGTAAGAGAAAAAACACATTTCAACCACCAATAGTAGGAGTAGTTTTCTTTACAACCGTTGGCCTTGCACATGGTTCTAAACAGCTTCAATTTAGGCTTTCATTTCTTGAACTAAAAAAATAAACCACCAACACAAAAACTAATCAAATTTTCTTTCAAAAATCTTTTTACATCTTTCACGAAATTATTGGCTTTGCAGAAAGAGCAACCACGGTTATTCAACAGCGAGTGGATGGTACAGTGGACTTTGATCAGACCTGGGACAAATATGAGCTTGGATTTGGAAATCTGGAAAGTAAGTAACCAATCCATTCCAACGCCTGTGCAATATAAAGAAATTTAGATTGAATAGTTAAAACCTGACTTGGTATACAAGAAGAAATCTCATAGATCAGGATGTGTTCCTGCTAAAGAAACGCAAACATACAGTGAACTTCCATCAAAACGGTCAGACCAGACCAAGAATCTGGACTAGCAAGGCACACGTTTTCAGGCTTTCTTAAAACTGTGTTGGTCTTAAGTAATCAAGACTGCAAACAATAAACATTGCTGTTAATGTATTGCAGATGAATTTTGGCTTGGCTTGGCAAAGATCTACTCCATTGCCAGGCAGGGGGACTACATTCTCAGCATTGAGCTGGAGGACTGGAAGGATGAGAGAAGATTCATCGAGTACATGTTCATTCTGGACGGTCCTGAATCTTATTACACTATCCATCTGACTCATCTGTCTGGAAACCTGCCCGATGCCATGAGCAACCACACTGGCATGATGTTCTCGACCAAAGATAAGGACAACGACAATCTGGATGGGTCCAGCTGCGCTCGCAGCTACTCAGGTAGCGACAATCAAATGTATGGATTGG